TTCTCATAGTTTTGCGAAGTGAAAAATGGTACAGTCGCAGATGAAGATCTGCGTTGAGAATGTGGACCGTGGAAATGTAGGAAAGTCATTGCTGCAGACATCGCCTACGGGTAGACGTCTCATGGGGCTCATCTACTGAATGCTGCACCGTGGTGACGTTTAAAGGGGTTGTAACGGTGTGAGTTGGATCTGAAGCTGTCGTTTTGTCAGGCAATTTTAGTTCTGATTTTCTACAGGTCCTAGCTGATGGACCATATCCACCCTTGGCATGAAAAAGGCCCTAAAGGCACTTAAACTTTATTTCTGTACATTGTGCGAAAGTTACGAAATGAGTTGGTGGTGATGAAATGTTCAATATAAAAAGCTCTCTGCTCTTTACTTATCTTAACCATGATTTCAGCAGGCAAAGGAAACTTGAGAAAAAACATCTGCAAACTTATGTTGGCCTGTTAGACCACTGCAGTTTGCAATGTGGCACAATCGTTGGGATTTTTTAGTGGTATGCCTAATGCGAACTAGAGCGTCATTCTTCAAATATGGGGACGTAGCTGAAAATGGGTTGGTTTTTTTAACGCGCTATGTAGATAAAAATTCTTTTGTGGATTTTTCTAAAATGAATATCAGACAAATTCCTTTTGACTTCCAAATGCTGTGTACAAATTTGAAGCACAAAATCTCTGTGTGGATAAAAAATATTAACAAAAAAAGTTGTACAGTTTTTTCTTTGGATCACTCTGTACTTCGCATTTCTGTACGGTGGGTGAAATGTACCAAAACATAATCTTGGGTCTGCTGCGAATCGGACATATATATATATATATAGTTTGTCTGCTACATCCTTTAGAAGCTAACCCACACATAACAATAGCATACAATATAACCTGCAGTGTAAAAACAAAACGGAAAAACGAAACTTCCGTTTTGATATCTCTACGCTTTTCTCAGATATTTTTTTATCTATCTGTCTCAAGTGCTAGGTCTAGACACTGGCGATCATGTGTTTTTTCTGGGCCTGTTCATCGTCAGAAATGATGCTGTATTCTGATTATTTTCAGGTGTCACGATATTTGTCGTTTGATTGAAATGTAACTTTGTTCCTCTTGGCCGACCTATACCTCTTTTTCCATCATTCTTTTCGATTTATACATGATGGCGTGGAGAGAACTCCCCCCCCC